ATGATGATGATGATGATGATGATGATGATGATGATGATGATGATGATGATCATGTACATAGAATCAAAGGATCAATACATTTCAGCATTCGTATTGCGGCCACCAGCCCACTTGAAACGTGCAATGAAGCACAGGGATGCATAAGGCTTCCCAATCACAGTCAGTATGAGCACCATGGGTATGCTAGCAATCAAAATAATCAAATAGTTGCTTGCGTACCCCATTACATGCAGCCAATTGCTCCCCATCCCAACACTCACGTCTTCAATCACACCTCGTGCATGAGTTGCATGACAGAGGGGATGTCCATAGCTTTCAGGAACTCCTGAACCATTCAAAGGGGTCAAAAAGTGTTTTTGACTGCTTCGCTTGGACTTTGGGAGTCCAATTTTTTAAATCCAACACCGCTGACACCGCGAATCACCGGATCAGAGTATCCTTCTTGGAAATTTGCCCTGTCTGTTGCACATCCGCCGTCCTGGGCCGGGGCAAACGCGACACCCATCGAACGACCCTGTGTCATGGTGTCTGCACCTGTTGATGCGGTTTCTGGATGGTTTGGGCATGGGTAGAACCTACACCCGCAAAACCACGTAGGGTGGTGCAAAGTGAACATCCCCCCTAGAGGAATTTTGTGTTCAGGGCTCGGATTCTCACCTCTCCCCTTGACGTCTGGTTTCTGGACTTCCTGTATTTTGTGCGCACCCTGGATCAGTAGTTCCGCAAGTTGTGTGAACAAACGAGAAAATGAATCATGCCACCTATTTACTGGACGAACCAGTAGTTGAGGAAGCTACCTACCTTCAGCAAGGCTTTGGCAAAGGCTCTGAAAGACTTCAAGGATTTTCACCATTGCATTGGCATCGTTCTTCTCCTGAGCGGAGCGAAGGCTAAGGACCGAGAGCGTGCATCCCATACTCTTTTTGTATCTTTTTGTCTGATTCACCTCAGCCGCCGCAAAGTCAAAAACAATCGTGACGTCGAACTCGTCCCAGGAACCTGAACCGATCGCATATCTTCCTGGCGTTCTTTGGCGTGGACACCTCAGCGGTTCAAGGCAAACCCGAATGGAATTTCATCTGCTAATTGTGGATTGAGGGTTGCCCGCTCATGGCACACAGTTGAGGAACATCCAACCCTACTGCACTGCAAACACCTCCATTTAGCAGCTGTTGTCACGGCTGGGTATGCTAAGCGGCTGCGCCGGACACATTGAGGCGCCTGGTAATGGTCCATTTGTCCGGGGAAGTCACCAAGACTTGTCGTGCTTGGGGTGCCAAAAACATGCCATCGCAACGAGTCCTGTTTGGTGACCCGAGTAGTTCCGCCAAGGCACAAGTGTTCTGCACAATGACCGCCACCACGCAGTTCCTGAGAAAAAAAGAATTACGTTTTCAGGTGTCTCAACCAATGACATCCCAAGTGATGAGGCCCAACAAGATGAGCGGTCATCAACAGCAGGCAAAATTGGATCTTTGCGCCGTCGTGACTCATGAGATCGTGGTTGGTGCCAAAAGCTCTGGGGCCCTCAGTGGTCAATGAAATCGTCTCTCAAAGCACAAACTATTCAGCCATGCAGGCCATTATGCATACTCGCTCCCTTGACGATGTGAGGGTACCCAAGAGTCACCTGGACAGTGACCGACGTTGTTAATTTCCAGATCACAGTTCCCTCAGTTCGACCCAACCTGCCCTCTCGCCAAGCCACATCACTGCGAAACCTCAGTCACCACAACAAACAAATCGCAACATAGCACCAAAGACAGGCATCAGTCCCAGACAAGCCACTGGTGCAGAAGATATAAAGGACAAAGAAGATCTCTGCTCCGTTGATGATCGTCCCGGTGTATCTGGCCAGATCGGCCCATGTCTCCATGGTCATCACCTTGAACAAGGTGTACATGCTTCGCCTTATTCAACACCGGAAAACGGGTGAACCGGTGGTTACAGTGTCCAAGCGGAAGACGGGTGGTTCCATGGAAATTCCATCACACGGACCAAGGATCTGACCCAGGCTGGGTTCGGACATTTGGCCTAAAGCTTCAGATCCCTAAGACTTAAGATCACGTGAGAACTGATGCTTTCTTCCTAAAGAGCACATGTAATTACTGCAAAACGTCCACCAAAACGCAAAACAAATGTACGGATACACATGATATACTGATGATACACCCAAAGCAGCACTAGGGGGTGTCCCACCATCCATGTCACTTCTGGCCCGAGCTGCGGCAAGGTTCCGAAGGCAGCCGTGAGCGTGGCGTCCGGCGGGTCATTCCGTCCGAAGGTTTGGGTCACAAAGATCGCAGGCAGGTACATCATGACCTCCGCGCGCGAGCGAGTGGACTCCGATGGCGATGGAGGAGACTCTCATGGACTCCGATGGAGGTACGTCTTGGACCGAAGGACCATTCGGTCGAAAAGTCCTGGGCATGACGGTATGACCTTGAGATGCGAGGAGGAGTGCTATGATGTCTGCCCCATTCCATAACAAGAGTGTTGCTTCTCCCACACGCTTGCCATGTTTGATGGAATGGCTGCCCAGGCGACTTGGTTCGTCTGGGGAGTGGAGCATACTCCGAATGACAAGGGTCCAGCAGCCAGCATGCTGAAAGCGCTGAGCTGCTTACCTGATGTACAAAATAAAGGACCCACCCGACCACCCAAAAAGTAAGTCAAACGCGTCCTTCCAGAAACACACATGGCTTGCAAGCCGCTCTTGATCCGGATCGACTGGGCACCGGCAAGCCAAAAAGGGAAGCTTGGAAGCCAACTTCCAGACCAAATTCAGAGGGGGTGTATATACTCAGCGTAAATATAAGCCCCAAAAAAAATGCTGCTCTTGCTCTCAGAGGGATTCAGCGGGTTTTTTTCTTTCGGAACCCACCTTTAAAAGGAAACCGCCCGAAAAAATCCAACTTCACTCTGAGGCCCCAGCAATTAACAACAGCCACGCCCAAGCCAAGGAACTCAGAGAGGCCACAATTCCTGGGCGGAGACGCGGCTTGTCCCGGATGCTTCACGCCACAGACCGAGTCAATAGCTCGCTTTTCTTGAGGATGTACGTATGTATGTATGTATGTGTGTGTGTGTGTCAACAAGTGTGCGTGTGTGTGTGTGTCAACTCCTGCCCCTGAGGACTTCGACCACACTAGGATTCCTACCTGTTGAAGCACATAATTCACTCATTGTTGCCAGACTATGTACTGCAGCAGGGGACCAGGCAGGATACATCGTCGCCTGGTCAACGAAGCTGGCGATGTATCCGAGGATATGGAAATGGGACGCCATTTCCACGCACCTGCAAATGTTTAACCTCCTTTAAAGGGCCAGTGCAACTGGGACTTCGTCAACTGATTCTGCTCTTGCGAGTGTGTACCGCCGCAGAGTGAAGGGCGCGGCATGTGCACCATAGGGTTGGTGATCCTCCCTGATTGCACGTGGACTTCGTTGGCTCAGCGTCTCCTGCTCGAAAGTGCTGATTTTATGCCCCAGGGCTCACTGAGAACCTTTCAAAAATGACATGACATGCGGCTACGTATTCATAGGACAGGTTTTCGGCTAAGTAGTCAATAGGCCTGAGTCACAATTTTTAATGGGCAAGTTTAATGCATTGCTCGACACACTCACTTGCTTCGACTTTGCTCCGCCATCGAGCTCGACGCTGTGTACTACCCGTGGCATACTTCAGCAGCTCCCTTCACGACTTATGGTCCAGTACCTGCAGTACCACCGTCAGTGCCTGCTCAATACCACACCGCCTCCGAGTGATCGATCCTCCATCACACCCGGCCTGGCCTCCGATGTCATTTGCCCCATCAGCTCCACCACAGGCTCAACCACTACCAACTATGCCTCCACATCCAATCCGAGACCAACCTCAAGGCCTACCACCGGCATGGCCCACCCACATGTATCCACTGCCGACACAGCCCACTTCTACGTATTATCCACCCACAGCCTCCCCACACCTTTCGACTCCGCCCTCCACGAGTGATGAAGAAGATGACGACGACGCCGCTCAACCCCCAAAGCACACATTGTTGCGTCCCATTTTTCTCCACACCCTCCCTCCAGCAACCCCTCAGACATACGCAGAATGACGGCTTTTTGCGTGTGTCAACTCCTGTCTCTAAGGACTTCGACCACACTAAGGATTCCTACCTGTTAAAGATGTTAAAGCACATAATTCACTCATTGTTGCCAGACTGTGTACAGCAGCAGGGGACCAGGCAGGATACATCGTCGCCTGGTCAACGAAGCTGGCGATGTATCCGAGGATATGGAAATGGGACGCCATTTCCACGTACCTGCAAATTTGTAACCTCCTTTAAAGGGCCAGTGCAACTGGGACTTCGTCAACTGATTCTGCTCTTGCGAGCCTTTATCTAAGTGTGTGTGTGT